GCTTGGTAATATGTTGTTACCTTGGGAAGAAGATCAGAGACGTGAGGAAGACTGGTGTGAAGCACACAGGTAATACTTTATCATTTATATTATTTTGGCACAGGTTTTTATTAGATATTCATTACAGTCTTTTTTCTCAACTGATAAAACTGCTACATCCAACCAAGAAAAGTGCTTTGCAAATACATTTCTATGTGAGATGTTATTTTGCATAATCATTCTATACTATGATTTATCTTATAAGGGAATTAGAATTTAGGAAGAAGAATAAAATTATTAAACATTTGTTGTAATAATTACCCAAAGCATATCAGAAATGACTTGTAAACTCAAATTGTAACTTTGTTCACCAATTAAAGAATTGTATTTTATTATAGTTTATATACACACACATATACAGACAGAAAATTTACTCAAGATAAAAGTAATATAGCTGGATTACAGTAAATGATAATATATAGAGGTCAGTATATGCAAAGGTTCCAAAATAAGGTGTGTATGAACATAGACTCCATATTAATGAACTGTATATGCTCCTTGAGAATTAACACAGCCCTGTACTCTTGAGTGCATGTATGATCATATAGCTGGAGAAAATTATTCTGTGATGCATTATTCGACATCTGTTGCACCAATACAAGTGGGCTAACTGAACAAATCATGCACTGTCTTATACATGTTCATTGGAACAAAGGTCTGCCAGTTATGCCAAGCAGGAAAATTGTCAGTTATTTTGCAGTTCATATTGAGTAGTAGCACAGGCATCAGGAGAGTAGGCATTATTTTGTTGGAATAGCATATCACTTTCCTCTTGCAGGAATGGCAGCAGAACAGGTTGAACAAATTTTTGGATATACATATTGCTGTTCCTTCCACAAACACCCAAGTTGAGCAACTTATGACCACCTACACCATGATGCTAGAATTTAAGCCTATGTGTCTTTGGAAGATCTATCATTCCTAGACCTATGCCACCTACATCATTGCCACCACTGAACACTATAGAGCACCAATCAATCTCTCATATGATCCTCTCATGACACCACTATGTACATGATAATTTTGTAGCATGAGTGGAAGTCTAGTAAGAAGTACATGTACTCATAGTTCTGCTGCAAGCAGACAATTTCCTATGATCTGTATTGACAATTTTGGGGACTACATCTTCATAGCACAACACAACACTTACTTGCACTGGACTTTTCCCATCACCATCAATTTTGTCTGTATTTTTACCACCCACTAAAATGGATACATGATACTCATATCTAAATTTTCTTTTCTTTTAGAGAGGTTTGGTTTTGTTTCTGCTTAACAGCCCTTCAACAACTATAAGTTTATTTAAGACTGGATAAATGTTTTAAGTATAGCTTGAGGTTATATGTGGATCAGTGATAGTTTTGATTTTTTTTCTTTTAATCAGTTATTAATGATACTGGTTTCAAATACAAGCTATTTTGCATTCAGTTTTTGATACAAATTGGTTATTAGAGTTTGCATTTTTATTTTTAGTCTGAAGTGTTCTTTTTCCTTTTTTGCTGCAAAATTTTATGTAGTTTTGTTGGGAGCTTTTATATTTTGGTATAAAATTTAATTTCCTTTAAGAAGTTAAGGTTATTGAAAGAGTCCATTTGTGTTGTTTGCTTGATATTTTGTTCAGGCTTGACTGAAACGATGCCAGTGTATGAGTATGTTTAACTGAGTGTAAGCATTCTGAAAGCAAGGAAATGTTTGTCGCAGATTAATTCCACAATGCAGAGAACAAATCACTGTAAGTTCAGACTCGAATATCAGGGGCAGAAAGAAATGCTGAAAACTCGATTCGCAGGTACTATCTCACAAATCACATTGCGCATAACCAGTCAGAAAAATAACTCGCTCTCTGACGAATGTGGTAGACAAAATACATCAATTTTTCCCTCCCAATTCGAGAATACCAACTGCTTTTATCGGCCAAGCATTTTTTTCATTCGTCAACAACTGGGAGAGGACACCAAATTTTTTCATATCAAAATACTTTTATAGAGACTCTTGCAATGGACTTGTTTTTAATCTAAATATTCTGTCTTCAGTATGTCATAGAGAATACAGGCCCTTTTTTTGGTAAGTGTGGACATGAAAATGAGACTAACCTCAGTTCTGCATAAGAGGGTTCATTTGTGTCTGGCGTGTAGGGCAGTAATTGGTCCCAAGAAAGAAAACACCACCATTACGGAGAGTCCGGACTTATGGAAACGCGATCTCAGAGCTTGGCGAGGATTGGCGAGAGGAGAACTTGGGTGTATGCAAATTGGTTGGTGTTCGCTGGGATAAATGTGACGGTGGGGAGACCACTTTCGAGAGAGTTGTGTGTAGCGAATCACGAGGCGGTGTTGGAACATTTGAGTGCAAAGATCTGTGGAGTTGTTTAGCTGGATTGTAGCTGTTGTTAAGCTGAGGAGTGTTTCCGGAAGCAGGCGGTGCGGGCCAACCCGTCCCTGGCCCCTATTGTTTGGACCTAATTTTTACGAGACCAACCCGTTTCCTTCCTATTGTTTGGACGAATTTTGCGACAAGCTATTTCGCATAATGGGGGGACAGATTCAACCTGAGATTGATTCCGGAGTTCATGGCTCAACCCCGTACTTGACTGGGTGGAAAAAAGTGGAATTGCATTGGCTCTTGTCTGGCATAAAGAACATTGAACATGTGATTCCTCTGGCGGCTGTCTGGCGGGGCTTTTGGCTGTGTATCAACAGCTCAGTGCTGAGGAAAAACAAGATTATAAGAGAATCAAGGCAGCACTATACAAGGCGTTTGCCTATCGACCCCGCCACTGCATGGGAACAATTCCGAGGCAGAACTTTACTTCCAGGCTTAAACTGTCGACGTGTATCTGACCGAGCTGACGAAGTTGACGGTGTTGTTCGTGGACTGCCCGAGCCGGGCCTTGGCATACAAATTTCTGGCAGGGCTCCCAACCGGAGCAAAGCAACTCCTGCGTAGTGAGCTTAAGCATAGACTTGTTGTCCCTTAATGACCTGGTAGACCGGGCCAGGACCGTGATGAAAGACAGCTCTGAGGTGAGAGAACCGGTGAAGTCGCCGGGCTGCACAGTCCACGCCCGGTGATGATAGACCGTTTTCAGGGCCCAGCCCCTGTAGTGGGGTCGTATGTTATAGGTGCGTGGCCAGGGCCACATTGGCGAGGAACTGCAGGAGGCGACTGACAGCTTCGCTGCTACCGTGTAATGAGACTGGACATTTGGTCCGGGATTGTGCGGGGAACGGGCCGGGGACAAGGTGCCAGCGCCGACCTCTTCCCAAGCAGAAATTAGATGAGGCGCTTCCGATCATCCAGGTCTACATTAATGAGACATTGTGCTCCAGCACTTCTCGATTCCCGTTGCTCCGCACCATAGTGTGCGCGGACCTCTGCCGCACTTGGAAGAAGAAGAGTGTCAGGGTGACCACCATCAGTGGAGAAACACGAAGGTGTTGCAGGGTAGGCGCGGTGAACATCCGTACAAGAACTGGAAACTCCGCCAACGCCGAGGCGCTAGTAGTGTTCGAAAAACCACTGAGTTTTGACCTGCTTCTAGGCTATGATGCCATCAGAGCTTTAGGTGGTGTTCACATAACGCAGACGGGGGCAGTACAGTTTCAGGAGAGGGCCCCAGTGTGCGCAGCTCTGAGGATCGACCAGCCGGACTTTAGTGTCGAATTTGACCAGCAGCAGAAGACTTGGACCACCTCATGGAGGTGGTGGGAAAACCAGAACCAGCCAAACTGCGGAACGAGGTAGCCGAGTACCATGTGCCCGATCAAATAAGGCCTGCATACGAAGGGGAGCTCCGTGAATGGATCAAGGATGGCTGGTTGATTCCCTTACCCTATGAGAAACTTGGACCTCCCAAAGGCCTGATCCCGCTGATGGCGTTGCTCAGCACAACAAAGCAAAGGTGAGGCCAGTGATGGACTACCCCATGAACTAAACGCGATGTTGATGCGTTCACGGCAGATGCTGACGTTTGTGCCAGCAAGCTACGAGAATGGCGCCAGCAGGGTTCCAATGTGTCCCTGCTGGATCTAAGAAAGCGTACCTGCAGGTCCGGGTCAGCGAGGGCGATGTGGCCATTTCAGACGGTGGTGTTTGCCGGCAGGAGGTACTGCCTTTACTAGGCTGGGCTTAGGGCTGAACGTGGCACCCCAAATAATGAAGACCATCGTCAACGCTGTGTTGTCACAGGAAGAAACAATAAAAAGAGGGGACATCGGCGTGCCTTGATGATATATATGTGAACGAAGACGTTGTGTCGTCATCACGCCGTGGAGGTCCAAACTGGCTGAGTTTGGTCTGACTTGTAAGGACCCAGAACGTTTGGAGGATGGTGCCCGTGTCTTGGGCCTGAACGTTCAACAGGAGCGAGAGACCTTAAATGGGGGGGCGGCGGAACTGCAGTTCCTGAAGTACCGATGTCTTCACGAGGCGTAGCTATATTCTCCCTGTGTGGAAGACTTGTGGGGCATCTACCATGTGTGGATGGATGGTGGTGGCAACAGGCACCATCAAAAAGAAGGGCAAGCGCAGTCACCAAAGGCTGGGGACGATGAAACAACGGACGATCTGTTGGATTGCATGGTGAAGGAGACCATCGTAAAGAAGTAAAGCAGGATGACCCTGCCAAAGGTGACTGGTGCGTGTAGGAGAGCGAACTGAACGTGTGGGTGGATGCGAGCTCTCTGGCGATTGGTGTGCTGTTGGAGAAGAATGGGGCTGCGATTGAGGACGCCTGCTGGTTGCGACGTGAATGACGCTGCTCATATCAACCTGGCAGAGCCTTTCGCGGTGATAAAAGGCATCAACCTGGCACTCCAGTGGAAAAGTTAAGAAATTACACATACACACTGATTCGTTATGTGTGTACCACTGGATATCGGACACACTGACAGGCAAGGCCAGGGTGCGTGCAAAAGCGGCTATGTAGATGCTGATCAGGCGGAGGTTGGAGACCATAAGAAAGCTGGTAACAGAGTACAACCTATCTATGGATGCGGTGCTTGTCACCTCAAACTGCAACCTTGCTGATAGGGCTCACGTGTGCCACAGAGATGGTATGGCACCATGAAGAAAGAAACTGAGCCAGTACCATTTAATATGTGTGCTGCCTCTGTTAAGGCGGCGGACAAAATCAAGGAGATACACCACAACAGTGGGCACCCCGGAGTGAGACGGACATGCTATTTTGTACAGTTGACCAATCCGTCAGTGTCCAAAAGTGGAAGTCAGAGCGGTGGTGAAGGAATGCCAAACATGCCAGTCAATCGACCCGCCCCAGCTAAATGGCGGAAGGGTCGGCTGGGGGTAGACACGACTTGGGGCTGACTGGGTATGGACATAACCCATTACGGCAGCCAGCATTTCCTCACACTGATAGATTGCGGACCCGAGGTTCGGCAATCTGGCGCCATTAGTAAAGACAGGACTCATCCAGTGTCATCCGAGAATTGAGTCCATATTTTATGAAAGGGGGGCCGCCTGAAGAGATCCCTACGGATAACCGACCGGCCTTCTGCAGCGGGAGTTTAGACTTTAAGTAGACGAGTGGGGGATCCAGCTCAGACACCGCTGTGCATATGTGAGTGGCAGCGGCATAAAGGCGGTGCCACCGAGGCGTGAAAGAGGATCGCGCTGTGAAGCAGTGCAACGCGCGGCGGCGGTCTATAGATACAATGCAACACCAAGGATGCGCGGACTGCTGTAAGCGCCCCGCCAATGCAATCCATCGCTACCAAGTGCGCAACAAGGGCATTGGCCGGCGTGTCTGCCTGATCGGCAGGGAAACACGAAGGGCCCGTATAGGTTAGGGGACACCGTCTGGGTGAAACCTCCCAATGGCGGTGCACCACCAGCTTTAAAGAAAAGCGAATCACCGGCATCGATCAATGAGCAAGCAGTGCTGGTCGATGGTACTCCACGCCATGTGAAGGATGTCCGGCCGCCCTAAATCACCGAACCAGTTGACTAGTAGCAGCAGTGGTGAATCATCCAGTGATGAACTGTGGATCCACCTATGCCCCCTCAGGCCTGATGGTTTGACTATGGATCCCGGCGCTGATGCTGATAGTTCTGACGCCCCTTCTGAGAGTCCCGGATGAAGAAGTCCAGACAATCCCCTTTGGGTAGGTGTGCCCGCAACAAACGCGACCGCGTCCGCAATGCCATGTGTGATCTTGAGACCAGGGGGGTGTGGACATGAAAATGAGACTAACCTCCAGTTCTCGGCATAAGAGGGTTGTTTGTGTCTGGCGTGTAGGGCAGTAATTGGTCGAAAAAGAAACACCACCATTACGGTGAGTCGGACTTATGGAAACGCGATCTCGTGAACCATGAGGATTGGCGAGAGGAGAACTTGGGCGTATGCAAATTGGTTGGCGTTCGCTGGGATAAATGTGACGGCGGGAGACCAATTTCGAGAGAGTTGTGTGGCGAACTTAGGCGGTGTTGGAACATTTGAGTGCAAAGATCTGTGAAGTTGTTTGAAGCTGGATTGTAGCTGTCGTTAAGCTGAGAGTGTTTCGGAAGTAGGCGGTGCCGGGCCAACCTGTTCGATCTATTGTTTGGACCTAATTTACTGAGACCAACCCGTTCCTTCCTATTGTTTGGACCTAATTTTGCAACAGTAAGTAATTTTTTTTTCCGTCATAGGATACACGTGATGCGCTGTCACATGGTTTGATAAGGTAAGTTGCCATTTTCTTCGCTATACTGACAAATAATTGACATCTGTTTTATGATGGAGGAGTTTCATTTAATAGATTTGTGTCAGATGTGTATGTCATATTTGGAGTCTGGATAAAACTATTTCCTCCTGTTTTATCTTTCTAAAACCTGGAAGCCATTTTCTTATAGCTGGTTGAATATATAGTTTATTAAAGTTTGAGTTCCATATTGCTTGCCATTTTCTTTTGCTATATTCTTTTATTTTGTTTCTGCAATTTGTATGGGGTATCTTTATGTTGGTTGTTGTCATGTTGAGGGTGTCTTTAGTTAGTTTATCTGCTATTTCATTGCCCAGTATGCCAACATGACATGTAATCCAGGCTAAGATGATTGATTTTTGCAATTTAACTATTTCAGTATAGGTTTCTAGTATGTCTAAGATATATGAATATTTAAACTCTCCTTCTTTCAGACTTACAAGACTTGATAAAATGTTTATAAATATGATGAATTTCTGGTTGTTTTTTGAATTATTAATGAGTTTAAGCTCCATCTAAATGGTCTGTAGTTCAGCTGTAAATATAGAAACTTGATTTGGTAGTCTAATCTGTTTGGGAGACTGTCCATCCGTGGCTGCTGCTCCCATTTTATTTGAAATTTTAGAACTATTAGGATATACAGCTCATTATTTGTGTTTTAATTTGGCAAACTTGCTTCTATTTATGATGTTATTTGTAGTGTTTTTGTTGTGTTGAGTTAGTGTTAGGTCTGTCCAGCCTTTTGCCTTAATGGGCCAAATTAGAAATGTAGGTATATTCACCAGGCTACAAAAGTACTTTATTTAAAAAGTCCAAAATGTTGTGAATATCAAATTTTAATAATGAATATATATATATATATATATATATATATATATATATATATAAAATTACAAAACATACTGTATTATTGACAGTAAAAATGATCTTCCTGGTGTCATCAGTTCTCAAGTAGGCAGACAGCACTACTCCTGTCTCAATAGTAAATCCATTATTGCTGACAAATTTAACCTGTCCATTGATCTCAAAAAGGACCTCCAATCTGTGGCAGGAAATGGCTTGTAAATTTTAATGCCTTCAAAACTGTAGTGAAAATTGGAACGAAAATAATCACCCACCTGATCGCAAACGGCAGCGTATATGTTCTGCGTGCAAGGTTTATTTTTTTTGACTGGCCCCAGCAAGCTTATATTGCGAATGGTCACGTATCCTCACACAGATGGTCACGTAAAACCACGGAAAGTGAATTCATGCATGTAAATGGAGGAGGGCAGAAAAGGACATAAAAACGCCAAACACTCGTCACTCACGGAGAGAAAAAAGGATCTTCTGCAACGTTGAAGAAGAATCATGTAAAGGAGAAAGCAGAGGCACAGGAAGAGATTATTGAGTAAATTGAGGGAGTTTATCAGTCATTGCAGTTTTACACCAGACGTACCAAGTGAATAGTGTGTTTGTTGAGGAAGTTTGTCAGTCGTTGCGGATTTGCACCCAGTACAGCTGCTTTCATTTAACCACCATAGAGAAACGCTCAACTTTATGAGAGCATCTCTCATGTTTTCCACTAACCTGAGGTGGAACAACGACATTGAATCAATAGCTGCATCTACCTGAAGGAAAGTTGGTTCTGTATGTAATACCAGAAGGTTTTTCTCATCTGAGTCCATCCTTCACATCTACAAATTTAACATTCGTCCATGCATTGAATACTATTGCCAGGTAATTTTTTTCTGTAAGAGTTAAAATTCATGCAAAAAAATTCAGGGGTCACACTATATATGCAGTTGGCTTAGACATGAGTATATACAGTAGTCATGGCTACTCAGTTGCATACTAATTATGGAGAAACTATTGACTATTCTTTTACTATAAGTTTTGCTGTAAATAATATAGTAATTTAAGCATCATTTTTTATCTCAGTTAAAATTTACAAATAATTATTTAACTTTTTTTTATACTTCTCTTTTGCAGATCTGTCATTGATCCAATTCAAGTTGATTTAGGAATCAATTTATATGAAGAAAATCCATCACTGTTAAAATTCAAGTGAGTAGAAAATTTTAACATTTTTATAATATTTTATGTTTTTATTTAATTATAGCAACCTCACAATCTTCTCCTTAATAATCTTTGATCTTTTTTCTTTTCTTCTGATTTTTTATCTGCTGCCACATTTACTTTTTTTTTAAATCATTTCACCCCAAGCAAAGTGGTAATGCCACTAGTACACAGGGGGTTATAGGGAATGAAAGTGAAAGAGAAGACTGAGAATAGGGAGGATTGAGGAAAGGACAAAAAATGAATGGGATTCAAGAAGACAGAAGATGGCAATTGACATTGCATTTCAATTTTGAAGATTGTAGTTATTGGGGAAGCAAGTAAGCAGAAGGGAGTTCCACATGTAGAAAGTGCGAGAAGAGAAACTGTTGGAGTAGAAGTGGCAGTTGCATTTAGGTATTTCAACAGTAAAAGGGTAGGACCTAGATTCCAATCTAGTAGCATGTCTAAATTCATGAAGTAGGGGCACCAGGAAAAAAGCATGTCAGAGCAATTGCCATGAAAATATTTTAGAAAAGATAGAGGGAAGCCATGTCACTTCAGTAAGAAAGTGACTAAATTTGTAATGTCTGGTCAGGATCAATTACATTACAGATCCTTCTTTGGATTTTGTCAAGAATCTCAAGAGCATCACACCAGATATGACATCAGTATTCAATGCATGGATGAATGATAGATTTATAAATGTGCAAGATGGATTCTGACAAAAATAATTATCTGGTACAGCACAGTGACCCAACTTCCCTTGCACAGTAGATGCAGCTATTGATTCAATATAGTCACTCCACTTCAAGTCAGTGGAGAACATGAGGCCAAGAAGAGTAGTATGTTGCTCTCTGAAGTCCAGTGTCAGCCATGCTGATGGCAGGCATGAAAGGTTCTTTATGGTGGTTAAATGAAAGCAGTTTTGTTTTGGAGGTGTTAAAATTTACAAGCCATTTTTTGCCTCAGTTAACCACTGATTGGAGGTCCTTTTCAGATGCATCAGATCTGACAATGTAAACTTGGCAGCTAAGAGCAGCTGCTAAGTTTACATTGTCAGATCTGATGGATTTGCTATTGCGACAGGAATAAATGGTAGTGTCAGCTGCATGAATATCTAGTTGGGAATTGATGACATTGGGGAGACCATTGATGAAGATCAGAAACAGCATAGGACCCAGAGGAGAGCCTTGGGTGGACAACCACATTCATCTGTAAGGATTTGAAAATGAGTCTGTTCAAAACGACCTTCATTTCATGATTTGACGGGAACTGATTGGATTAAATCAAATATTCGTCCTGTGATATCATAGCCCTGGACCTTGTGTAGAAGGCCAGAATGCCAAACCCTGTCAAACACCTTCAAGATATCTAGAGCCACAGCCTGAGTTTTATTGTTCATATCTAGAGCTTGATATACAAATTCAGTGATGGCTGTTAATATATCAGTAGTTGACCTGATGAGACAGAAGCCATATTTTTTGTCCAAAAGGAGGTTATGAGAAGTAAGATGTTTAACCATTTTAGCATTGATTAGAGCCTTGAATAAATTGCCAAAAAGATTAATAGGGCAATAATTTGAGGAGGCAGAGGGTTCTCCAACAAGCTGGAAAACAGGAAGCAATTATTGTTGAGTTTGGAGAGAATTGGAGCCAGCTCAGGAGCATATTTCTTTAAGACGATGACTGGGATACCATGACATCCTTATGGGGGTCTAGTTTGCAAATGAAGTCTAAAAACAGTGACAAGGTTACATGCATATCACTCAGTAGAGCCTCTGTTTTAGTGGGAAATCAGGCATGGGTACTCCAGATGAGTTGAGTGTAGAGTTCAAAGACAATTTCAGAGCAAAGCACTCAACCTTATCTGTTGTAATTGTCAGGACTTCAAATAGATTGAAGAGAGGAGGGATTGAGGATTGCTGTTGTTCAGCACACTCTTGCAGAGCTGCCAATAATCTCTAGAACTGAACTTGTGAGAGGCTATGCATTCTGTTGTGGAGTAAAGAGTACATCCTCAGTGACTCATCCAATACTATAACGAGTTCCATGTTTTGAGTCTTCATGTCCGGCACTAGGTCTTTGGTCAGAAGGTCTTGGCGAATGATGTGAATTCTGGTGTGACTCTTTTTGTCTCTCTTCTTATTATGTCTCCTGCTCTTCTGTTATCTTCTCTGTTTCTGAGTCTCAAATTTCTAACCTATATAGTGTCCTGTGTCCAGCAAGGGTGGGGTTAACTAGGGTCTGTGTTCAGTTGTCTTCTACCCTCAGTATCAATCTTTTCTAAATTTCCATTTATAAAAATACACTTACTCAAGTGGTTTTCCAAATTTGCAGTTGTCCAGACCCCTTTTAAGAGTGATCAGAGATCAAACTACCCCTTAAATCCCTTTACACTTTGCCTCATACCATTGCTCTATATAGGTAGTGCTAATCTATTTCTCCTCCTTCTCCCTTCTCTTCCTCCTCCTACTTTCTCAGCAGCCAACCTCAGCCTGCTTCCAGATGGTGCAGTGAAGACAAAAGGGATTTTCAGTCCTTATATACCAGCTTGCCCCATGCTGGGGATCACTCAATTGACCAGACTACTCAAGAATTAGAGAAAAAAAAATCTATTTCCACTCCCCTTAAAATTAAAGTTTATCTTTTCTCTGTCTTATGTATTCTTTTTATGATCAAATAGACCACTCAGCTGTTATGTCCATGGTCATTTCAAAATAGTAAGTAATTTTTTCTTACCAGTTGTATCCAAGGAAATCCAAATTAATGTTTAGATATAAAATTTTCTTGGATGTAGTCAAAATTTTAATGACAAATGCATGGGGATTCTTTTCTTCTGAGTGGTTGATTCAAAACATGTGTTTTTACTTTATCTGACATCTTTGTGGGTATCTTTCTTATCAGTAGGAAGTGGAGAAGTGTAGTGAAAGAGATAATCAATTACCCTGAAAAAAAAGTTTGTGTTCTGTGTGCGATCTGCCAAAGAAAAATTACCAAAAAGTAGTTAGCAAAAATCTGTTTCAATGATTAGAATCTATGTTGATGTTCTCCCTTCCCCTGAATGGTGTGGCCAATCAGAAAGATCTCTCGATGAACCAAAGCCATTGTTTTTCGCTTATAAAGGCAGAAGATTTTCTGAGCTGGCGAGCTGAACATGCGTTTTTGCTCATGAGTAGTGAAGGTTGGACGTGTGACCCCATTTTGTTGTTTCTACTTTGCTTGTTGGACTGTTACGACGGACTTTCATTTGAACTGCGATTTGGCTACAAGTGTTGCGGTCGAGAACCAGAAAAAATCTATTGCAGTTGCTACTATAAGTTGACAGTCTTTTCTTTTCTTTACTACAACAAGAAGGATAGGCAGTCTTGGGATTGCTCAATCTTATTGAATTTTTTCTAGTTAAAGTTGGGTTTGGTTCTCCTTGGAATTATCCCAAAACATGATATTCCAATGTATTTGTTTTTATTTTTTTCCTCAAATTTTCAATCCATCTTCATGTAATTTTAACAGTTATCATCCAGTTAGTAGACTCTCTCTCTCTTTCCTTCTTTCTTTCTTTCTCTTTTTGTTTGATCAACCTTTGGAGATCTCAGTGTCACAATAGCTGACTGAGTTTAGTAGATAAAGATGGAGACACATGTAAGAATGGTTTGGAGAGTTCCCTAGCCAGTGGGAGATGTTCCCAAATATTTTGTTAGAGAATTCAACTCTTTTACTTCTCCCTTAGCCCTCTTCTATTGTTTGTTGAGAGAAAAAGTGACATTTATTAATGAATGTGGTCCTAATTTGAGTAGGAAGAAGTGGAGGCAAATTCTTCTGTTTGCTGAGTCCTGTCAGGTGATCATGACTATCCACAACTTCTTATCCCTTGTATCTCTTAGCAATGTTTGACTTTTTAGCATACCTCTCACTTCCTGTTCTGCTATCCAGTTATACAAGCTTGTTAGGTAGGTTATGCACTGTTTCCCTTTGTCCATCTTGCCTTCAGTATGTTGTGTGTGTGTGTGTTAAATTCTCCAGATCCTCTTCAGTTGTCTGAGATATTTCAACTGTCTCTTTCTTATTCTAAGCATGCCCTTTTTTATTTCCATTATCCTTAAAACTTCCTCATCACTCATATGTTCATTCTATGGTATTTTCAGCAACCTTCTGTAGAACCAAATTTCTGTTGTCTCTTCATCTGTTGAATTGTCCAGTATTCACTGCCATATAGGAGGACTGATATTGCATAATGGTGCAGCATTCTTTTCTTTGTTTCTGACAAAATTTTCTTCATTGCTCTTGTTTGGATTGATTGGTTGAACAAAATGCACAAGTGAACATCAAAGTTAGGAGACTACTGCAATGTATTCACACTGATTGAATCAGAACCAATTTTAAAAGTTTAGTTCTTTGTGTGAGTCAATTTTTATGCCAAAGTGTGTGTGATATACATTCAGATCAAAGCAAGGTAATCTTGATTTATCTGTCGATGGTTAATACAGATGTAAAAGAGTTCAACTGCTCAGCCTTTGCATGATTGTCAGTGGCCTTTTCATTGTTTTTCTTCAAGTTGTTAAACTTGACCTTGAAAAGTGTCTGGTATAGTTCCAGAATCATTTGGGGTTTTCAGTAAGGCTATCAACAAGCTCATCTTCATAGTGAGCCTTTGAATCTGTGATGGCTTTATTGACCACATCAGTGTGGTCACAGAGAATTTCATCAGCCTCTAGATCACTCACCTTGACTTGTATCTTAAATAGTCTCTATTGATTTCTATCTAGTCCACTGTTCCACTTTGAATTTCCAGTTTCATTCAATTTATTGTATTTGCTTTTAATTCCATCAGCATACAGATCTTTGCAATTGAATTAATTCAGGAGTATGTTGTTTTATAGTTTGAGTTGTTTTCTTTCGTTTTCATAGTTTTATTCTGAGATTGTATATTCCTGGAAGGTGGTCACTCCCACAGTCGGCACTTGGGTATGTTTTACAGTGAAGAAATGTAGTCGCAAATCTTTTATTGAT